ACAAATATTATATACTCATAATATTTGTCCACATAACGTATATATGAGAACTATTCATTAGCTCGTAACACATATGAAGAAAAATTACTTTAATCAACGACTTTAATTGTTTGATAAAATATATAATAATTATTATTATACTCTAAACGTCTAGCCCAAATTTGTGGACCTTACAGAAACATCTAAGAAATAATGGAATTTTAGAGCATGTGTAAAGTTAGGCCATCTCCAATGGGAGTTTAATGGGGAGTTTACATTAAACTCAAAATCTCCATTGTGGGAAAATGACTAGGATTCAATAGAATGGGGAGTTCAATCCCCACTGAACTCTATACTCTCTCTCCTCACACACACACACACACACACACACACACACATATATATATATATATATATATATATATATATATATATATTAAAAAAAATTTATTTTAAATTTTTAATTATTGTTAATTTTAATTGTAGTTTTTAATTTTTATTTTCATGCTAATTAATTTTTTAAAAAACAACAATAAATAAAAAGAAAATGATAAGTGATATGGTAATCCATTAAATTGTATAGAGTTTAATGAATAAAGTTGTATAGTGAGTGGAATGTACATGTGTCAATCCATTGAACTTTTATGAGTTCAATGCATTGGAGATGGTCTTAGAACAATGTCGTTACAAACATCTTAAAGATATGAAATCGGGTACCTAGGTCTCAAGTGGCTACACAAGTCTCAAACAGGTTTAGAATCAAGAAGCCCGACATGTGAAACAATATCATGAGCATATTTGGATTGGCCAAGGAATAGGCCTGAATCCGTGTGGAGAACCTCAAGTCCAAGGAAGTAGTTGAGCCTGCCCAGATCTTTGATTTTGAACTCATGATCCAATTTTTCAATGAAGGATCGAATGAGATCAGGGCGATTACCTGTGAGGATGAGATCATCAACATAAACAAGTAAATATAAGATGGAATCACCATGCTTAAAGATAAACAATGAAGGATCGGCCCGACTACACGTGAACCCATTTGAGAGAAGAAACGAGCTAAGACGATGAAACCATGCCCTCGGAGCTTGTTTGTGACCATAGATTGCTTTGTGTAGGCGGCATACATAGTTTGGATGATGAGGATCAACAAAGCCGGGCTGTTGTTGCATGTAGATCGTATCACTCAATGTGCCATGGAGAAAAGCATTATTAACATCTAGCTGGTGCAAGGACCAATTATTGATGACTGCCAAAGATAATACCACACGAATAGTAGATGCTTTGACCACTGGGCTGAACGTGTGGGAAAAATCAAGACCATGAACTTGACTATATCCCTGTGCAACTAAGCGCGCCTTGTATCTTTCAATAGAACCATCAGCACGAAATTGTGTACGAAACAACCATTTACAACCCACAATATTGTGCTCGACAGGTGGTGGAACCAGCGTCCATGTTTGATTTAAATGAAGAGCTTGCATTTCAGATTGCATGGCCCGTAACCACTCGGTGGTGCCCATGGCTTCAGAATGGTGTGTGGGATCCCGAGAGGCAAAGAGAGCCGAGGGTAACGGTTGATCATGCACATAGGAGATGTCTGCACGATGCTTAGGTCTAAAATTTCGGCCTTGGCTCGAGTGATCATGGGATGCCCATGGGTAGGAGGTGAAGGAGGGCTATGAGGTGAAGTTGGAGAGGATGACGAGCTTGGATGAGGGTTGTCCGGAAGGCTGTCTTCAGATGAAGTCAATTAGGGTGAGCTGATGAAGTTGGTGTCATCAGGTTGGGGCGAAGGCGTACTGATAGGTGGGGGCGGTTGAGGATTAGAGGGAGGTGTGGGGGCCAGTGGCACACACAAGGTACATGGCACAGTAGGTGGGGGCTGAGATGGTGACACCACAGATGGTGGGGTGATAGGGTGTGGGGTTTTGATAGGATAGTCATCACAGAACGAGTGTATGGATAATTGAGTGAGAGGTGTGGAAGCATTGTGGGTGCCAAAAGGGAAGGTATCCTCATCGAAACGGGCATGTCGTGTTATGAATATCCGAGAAGTGACCGGATCAAGACATTTATATCCTTTGTATTGAGCATGATAACCCAAAAAAATGCACGGTATGCTACGTGGCGAAAGCTTGTTATCTGAATAATCTCGTAAGTAGGGATAAACACGACATCCAAGTGGCCGAAAATTCATGTAGGACGGAGTCCGATTGAATAAAAGCTCAAAGGGGGAGCGGTGAGCCAATACTCTCGTAGGCAAACGATTGATAATATAAACTGCAGTGCTAAAGATATGCACCCAATAAAATGGTGGAATATGAGCATTGAACATCATTGCAAGCCCCATTTCCACAATATGACGGTGTTTACGCTCCGCACGAACGTTTTGTTGCGGAGTATAGGGACACGATATTTGATGAAATGTGCCATTTTCAGTAAGTAATTTTTTAACTTTGTGGTTTAAAAATTCGGTCCCACCATCGCTTTGAAAAATCTTGATTTTGGTATCAAATTGCGTCTGAACAAATTTAATAAACGTATCAAAAACCTTGGAAAAATCAGATTTGACTTTGAGTGGGTAAAACCACGTAAACCGAGAAAAGTCATCCATAAACGTGACATAATAACGATATCCATCATCGGAAAAAACCGGTGACGGACCCCAAAGGTCACAATGAATCAAGTCCAAAATATGTGACGCCCGTTTGGGATTTTCCACAAACGGAAGTCGGTGAGACTTAGCAAGTTGGCACGGAGAACATGAAACTGGTTTTGGTAAAATGGATGAAACTGATAAATGTCCCAATTTATTTAACATTGTAATTATATCAAAAGAAATATGTCCCAATCGCAAGTGCCAACGTTCATAAGAGTCTCGTGGCCTAGACTGCACAAAAAACGCAGACGACGGTGGAGAGGACATGAGAATATAGAGACCATCTTCACATCGCCCTTGAGCTAGCACATGTTTCTTGATGCGGTCCTGAATAAAAAATGAAGATTTGGAAAATACCACATCCACATCATTATCATGAGTTAGCTTACTAATAGATAATAAAAATTTTGTAAGATGGGGAACCACCAACACATCGCGCAAGTGAAGACCAGTAGCGATTGAAGATGTCCCAATAGAAGAAACAGATAAGTAAGTACCATTACCAAACATAACAGATGCTTCGCTAGTAATGGGCTTGGTTTTGTGCACAGATCCGGGAGATGAAACCATATGATCGGTAGGGCCCAAATCAACATACCAATCGGGACGTGAAGGATGAATAGAGCACTGAGCATTGAAAGCCCTAGCAAGATCCGTGGCAGGGGGCGGTGGAGAGACAGCAAAAGAAGCAAGACGAGGGCATGACGATGCATAATGACCGTTAGTGCGACATAGCTGACAATGTGGTGGGCGACGACCACGTCCACGCCCCCCACGAGAGCCACGATAACCACGACCACGATATCCGGAAGGAGCAGAATATGTTGGAGGTGCAGAAGGGAAAGTAGCAGACTGATGTTGCTGAGCCGAGAAAGCAACTGGAGGCTGAGTATCATTGTTATGTATGGTCTGCAAAAACAGTTCATGGCCCTCAGCCTGTGCTAAAAGATCACGAAAAACAGAAGGCATCCGGGAGGCACGAATAGTTGTGGAGAAGGTTTCAAATGAAGCACCGAGACCACATAAAAACCAATGAGTTTTATCAGTTTCATCAACCGGGTGACCGATGGCAGCGAGTTGATCGCAGATTGCTTTAAATTTTCTTCCAAAATCTGAAACCGTGGATGTACCTTTAGTTAAATGGCGTAACTGATCACGTAGAGTTTGCACCCGTTCCATGGAGGAGTTGCTGTATGCTCGTTCGAGGGCAAGCCAAATCTCTCTGGCGGTGGAAAGACCCACAATCTCCGAGAAAGCCTCCTCAGTGAGCGAGGCCTGAATGAGGATTATGACACGTTGATCTGCCGACATCCAAGCGGAATAATCTGGATTTGGAGCCATCTTTTCTGCAACCATAAGCATAGGGGTAGGAGGGGTAGATGACCCATCAACATGATCAAACAGGTTCTGATAGGAGAGAAGATGTGAGATTTGATTTTTCCATAATAGATAATTAGAGGATGATAGTTTAATTGTGAGAAGATGAAGGATAGAATTCATGGTGATGGTGGGATCGGAAGAAGATGAGGAAGACATGGGGAGAAGAAAAGATTAAACTGAAAAGGAGAGGAAGAGATTAGCAGCGGCAGAAGAGGGGTGTGAAAAAAAGAGGGATTTATTTTTCTCTCTGATACCATGTGGAAAAATGACTCACTACCCAAAAGGGGAGGAGGCAATTAAATAAATAGAGAGCAAAGTTACATAAGAGACCCTATAAAAGAGTTACATGAACACAAACATACAAAATTACATTTGACTGATAAAGAAAATGCGTCCCAAGCCAAAATATCACAAGTACCGCCTCGTCCTGGGCCATCGCAAACTCATCAAAAGCTTCGCTTTCCATCAACTGACAGTTTTAGTTGATTCCCTTGGATTGATATATTTCAAAAAGTATCAAAGCCTATATTCTAACACTTGGATATATATTAGAAATCTTCAAATTTCATTAAAAAATAGCATTCCACGAACTATTTATTAAACCTAAAACTATCATAAATAATCACGATTTATTGGCATTGTCAAAAAAAATTTGTTAAATGAAATTAAAATAATTCGCAAAATCAATTATATCAGAAGTTATGTCACAAACACAGGTTCATCCATTGATTAACTATTATAATGTGATCACGACTTCAGTAAAATTTAAAATTCAATGTCAACTTACTTAATTTTTTTTTTTAATTTACAAATTTAAGAAAGTTCGTCATGTCTATAAATAACACAAGTTCGTCACTGAAGTCCCTCTCTATACATAATCTTGAATTCCATGTCACTTCCTCTTTCCATCTCTATATCTGATAACTGAAACACCTAACACAAATTTCCACCATTTCTTGAAAAGACCCATCAAGATTCCGCCATGGATTCTTCAAAACCACAACAATTTCACCCTGTGATTCCTCATTTACGCACTGGTTCTGGGTCTCGGGATGGTTCTAATGCTAGTGCTGATTTGGATGGTTCTGTCAGAGCATCAGATTCTTCCGCCGGAAACAACCAGCCAGAATTGTCACCTCACGGTAGCGGTAGTTCAGAAAGCAAGAGAAAGAAGAGCTCGACGGGTGGTGAACTGAAGGAAGATGATGATATGGAGATCGCGAATCAATCTACGCCCAAGAAACGCTATGAATCCGAATCATCAAAGGGGAAAGAAAAAGGCGAAAATACCACTCTCGGTGAAGAAGAGAATAAGCTCTTGGAGGGCGTTATTGCCGAATTAGAACAAGAATCGAACGTATCCTATGCGGACTTGAGCTGGGAAAAGTTAAAAATGCGAGCAAGACGCTTGGAGAAAGAGATAATGGGTGCGTATGATACTGATACATATGTAATGAAGATAATGAGTTTGTCTGAAATTGATACAGATGTAGTTCTTGCGATGAATCCGTTTGATGACGATAGCATTTGGGGAGAAAAAGACGATGAAGATCATAATAATCCGGCAGAAGAAATAACAGTCGATGGTGAAAGTGATACGAAAGGTACTGATCAAGATTCTGGTGATGATCAAGGAGATACGAAAGGTTCAAAAGATTTGAAGGATTTAACTGAACAAGAATTCGATGGTGAAAGTGATACGAAAGATTCATCTGATGTAGAAACCAAAGATGAAAGTGATGCAGAAGATTCAATATCCTCGTCATCAGAAATCTGTGATGTAAGTGATACGAAAGATCCATCAGATTCGTCATCGGAAGATTCATCGTCAACAGGTTCAAAGGGTTCGTCTGAAACAGAAACCGATGATGATCATAATCATAAGAAAGATTCATCGACATTTTGGCTGGAACGAAAACTGATGAAGATCATAAGGGCATTGATGATATCCATTGGGAAGATTCTATATGGTAATTAGAAATGATTTTTAGTAAATGTGTTTTGCATTGACTTTTTAACTAAAAAAGTCAAAATAAAAGTAGAAAATATGCCAATATGGTTTTTGATTTTGTAGAAATTGAGTTTTGAAATAGACTAAACTGCATAAATGGTCTCTGTGGTTAGTTGAAAATTGTCACTTTGGTCCAAAAAGGTTTGAACTAGCACCAGAGGTCCAAACTTTTCATTTTGTTGCGAGTTTGGTCCAGTATCCTTTGAAGTTTTTATAATGACTATTTTGCCCTTACCTTTTGCTTTTTCAGTTATTTTATTTATTTACAAATTCCCTTTGTGTGTTCTCCAAGATTCTCGTCGATGGAAAATTAACGAATCAAACCTGAGATGTTGGAAAAACGAGAGGGAGAATCTGACAGTGAAAATTTTAGGTGGGTTGTAGTTGACTTTTAAGTGGGTGTTTTGGTTCCTTCGTCTTCTCGTCTTGACCACCCTTTTCTCCTCTTTCCTTGGATCTAGTTGTAGTTTGTTTTCATGGAGGGTATCCTTCATATCTGAATCACGATGTTTTTACGTCGGAAGGGGAAATAAGTGCAAAAATCGATTGTTTGCTCAAAATTGGTTCCTGTTGACGCCTCTAATCATCATTTTGATCCTTTTCAACCTAAATCGGTTTCATTACTTGTCAAAAAGTTTGATACAAAAATGAAATTACCAAAAAAAATCGATTTTTGAGTTTGAAGGGTAGTGCGAATTCGATAAATCTGGTTCTAGTTCGTCGATTCATATCCCTTTAGTTGTTGATGTTGTTATAGTTGAGCTTCCTGACCCTTCTCGTAACATTATTAAGCTGGATGATTGTTCTAATGTGGAATAAGGTACCCCTATGCTCGAATTTGAGAATGATATTGCCCTTGCAATCCTAGTGATAAGGAAGCTATGATGATATTCTGGAACAATCTCACTATGAAGGATCGGTGGTACCGTTCGGTGGTGTTGGTGGCGTTCATATCTCCGACCGATGGTCATGGTGGTAGTATATTTTCTCGATGTGAAAAACCAGGTAAAAGATATGAACTGTACAGAAGAGAGAGAGAGAGAGAGAGAGAGAGAGAGATTTTCATTTTTATTTTTCTTTTAATTATAAAAGTATTTAGATAAATAAAAAAAAACTGAAAAAGCAAAAGCGAATGGAAAAATCGTCATTATAAAAAAGTTCAAAGCAAATTGGACCAAACTCGCAACAAAATGAAAAGTTTGGACCTCTGGTGCTAGTCCAAACCTTTTTGGAGCAAATTGATAATTTTCAGCTAACCACAGGTACCATTTGTGCAGTTTAGTCTTTGAAATATCAGCATTTTCAAGAATAGTATAAAACTGTACAAATATCCATGAGCATCAAATAATGTTTACACAATCAACCTAAATATACAGAAAATTATTATGTAATTGTTTGAAACTAGACCAATTAACTACGACTATTGGTTACACATAGAATATATATATATATATATATATATATATATATAGAGAGAGAGAGAGAGAGAGCTAGGTTCAAATGTTTTAACTAAGTATTGTGTTATTGTATGCATAAATGTGGGCCAATCAAAATTAAATAAAAAATTAAATAATTAAATAAATAAATAAGGGTAATTTAGTAATTTGCTTAATAAATTCCAAAAATAATCCCTATAATCATGGTATCTCTCCAGTTTAAATCTCGTTCTCCTCTTTATCTAAAAACCGATTCTGAAAACCCTAAATTGAACAAATCGACACCAGCGACCCTTCATCGTCTTCTTCATAGATTGGGAGAGGGAAGAATCGAGCGATCAAGCATCGAACAGAGGTGGTCTTGGTGGTGGTATTGAGATCTTCCGTTGGGATTTTGAAAATGGAGGCGGTATTGGGATCGTAGAGATGCTGTTTCGATGCAATATACTTGCGTTAGTCGGAGGCGATTCTCAGCCTCAGTACCCTCTAAATAAGGTTATGATCTGGGATGATCATCAGGACCGATGCATTTGTGAGCTATCTTTTCGATCGGAGGTTTGTGGAGTTCGGTTAAGGCGAGATCGGATAATTGTGATTTTGGAGCAGAAGATATTCGTATACAATTTCACGGATTTGAAGTTATTGCAACACATCGAGACATTTGCGAATCCCAAGGGCCTTTGCGATGTTTCACAAGCTTCTGGTAATTTTGTGCTTGTTTGTCTCGGATTGCGGAAGGGACAAGTTAGGGTTGAGCATTACGCTTCGAAGCGAACAAAGTTTATCTTAGCTCATGATTCAAGAATTGCGTGCTTCGCTCTCTCACAGAATGGAAATATGCTTGCCACAGCCAGCAACAAGGGAACTCTTGTTCGTATCTTCAATACCCACGACGGGTCATTGTTGCACGAGGTAGGCGTTAATTTGGTTAACTTCATTTATGATTCTGGATAATTTTACACATGTCTTTGTAATTATTACAACTTTGATGATTTTAACCAAGCTCATTAATGGTGGGTTGGGATACTACTAATAACAATTAGGTAAGGAGGGGTGGAGATAGAGCTGAAATACATAGCCTTGCATTTTCTCCTACGGCTGAGTGGCTTGCAGTCTCAAGTGATAAGGGTACTATTCATGTTTTCAGCATCACATCTGTCGATAATCCAGACCTCATTACCAGTTCATCTCGTATGATGTAGTTATTGATATTTTCTCACAAATCTTAAAAAAAAACAGGAATTATTAAAACAATCTACCAAACATTTTATCCATTATTTTTAGTATACAGGTCCTGATTGTAATTCGTTATGCCATTTCTGAAAACAGGACTACTTCGGTGGACTCAATTCAGACTTCAATGGGTTGACCATAAAATGTCAAAGAACAGAACAAAAGCTCAAGAACCCGTTTTAAGGTTTTAAATTCATATTTCAATGGTTTTTCTTTCATTTTCTCATATATATTTTAAACATTATTTATCGATTTTGTTGTTAAAGAAGGAAGGTGACATACAATATGTTACAGGAGGCCAGTTGTATCCTGCCCAGGTGATTTTTTACTTGCATTTGGTATTTCACAATTACATAAATTTGTTGTTGGCTTAATATCTTTCTTGTTATTTCAGATCCTGTTTGGCTTTCTGTACATTGTGAATCTTGGAATAATCTTATTCATTTATGTAGATGATTCAATGGATGATATTGGTGAGATTCCAATTCTATTGGAATGGAATGACGAATTCCAATTCTGTTGGAATCATAGAAGTTGATGCTTGAAGAACGGACCACATTATTCTTTTAGAATAAATGACATTTTAGTTTTATTCTTTAACAATAAATGTAATTCTTAACAATTGTTACCCGTATTCTATAAAAAATAATGTATTTTTTGTTTTTATTCTTCAATTGATTGTTCAAGATTTTGTTATTCTACAAGAAGTTGTTATTCTTCAAGAAGTTTTTAAAGTCATCATCAAAAAATAGGTTCAAGAATATTTTTATTATTTATGGTTCAAGAATATTTTTATTTTTGAATATATTCATAAACATATTCTGTCAGAATGTCCGAATTCAAAGAATTATAATTCGTAAAATCGGATTTTTAAAATTAATAGAATCTATGATCCCTTAAAAAATGCAATTTTCCTTCATTAAATCTATATTAAAATTAAAAGGTTCTATACCTAAGCTTAGGTACATAACAGTGTAACATCCTGTTTAAAATAAATTAATTAAATAATAAATCTGGAACCCCGAGAAGTAATTTTTATTATTAATTTAGATTATTATAACACAAAATCAAAAAAATAATTAGCGGGGTGTCGGTTTCGGGAAGCCAAATGACACGATTTAGAGTTTCGGGGGTTAGAGTGGTAATTTCTGGATTTGTTTTGCAAAAGATTCTCAAAGTGGAGGGTTGTTTGGTAAAAGATTGGACTTGAATTGAAATGGATTTTAATGTTGAGGGATAAAAGGGTAAAATTCGGACGCACTTTGAAAGAAAATGGGAAGGGAGGGGCCAAAGGTGGCATTATGGGATAAACTTGTATGGGGCTCGGGGTATAAAACATGTCACCCCGGTAAACCCTAACCTTAACCCTTCGTCTTCGGTGTCGCTGCCACCCTTATGCCTCCACCGTCGGCGTCGTTCTGTTGTCGCTGAAGACGTTGAGCCGCCACCCGTGACCTCTCCAGTCGCCAGCATGGAGTCTCTCAGCCACCAAAGCCAACCACGAACCTGCTGCCGGCAAAATCACCGGTCGATCGTTGCTCTCACTTCTTCGTCACTGATGCTACCCGCCATCCGTCGTCGTAGGTGTCGCCGCCGTCGTTCCCAGTCACATCTCTTCTCTGTTCCAGCGGTGCTACGCCTAGCTGTTCCCGACGCCACCTTAAGCCTTGAGTGACCACCTTCTGTGGTGTTTCCGGTCGTCGCCTGTCACCGATGTGGCTGAGTTCTTAGTTTGCAAGCGGGTGTGTATGATGTTGTATTGTGGTAATCGTCATGGGTGTATTTCTGTTACAAATATGTGTTGTGTGTGGGGTTATTTGGCCGGAATTTGCGAGAAAAGCCACCGCCACCACCGTGAGGTGGTGGCTGCCACCATCTACCACCGTCGGCCACCACAAGGGTGGCTGTGTGTGTATGTGTGTGTTTATCTTAGTATGTGTGTGTGTGTTTAATTGAGTTTTGTGTTGTATATTGTAATCGGGATGAAATAATGAAAGAAAAACTCATAACCACCACCGTGAGGTGGTGGCTGCTGCCACCAGCCGCCGTGTTGGGTGGCGGTGTGCCTTTGCTTGTGTATAGTTGCTTTTGGGATGCTTGGACAAAATGGACTATAACCATAACCACCACTGTGAGGTGGTGGCCGCCGCCGTTGGCCACCACTACCCGAGGTGGTAGTCGGTGGTGCCCGACTAGCGAAACCCTAATGGGCCTAAGAACTTAGCTTTTGGGCCTAATTGGGTTTTGATGGGTTGGAAACCCTAATTAGGGTTTAGAAAACCCTAATTTTGGAATTATTGGTTTGGACTTTTCGGGACCCGTATTTTGGACCATTGGAGTGAAGTTATGACTCAAGCCCGATTTCATTGTATGTTTGGACTTAATGGATTAAGTCCTTAATGGGTTAAGTAAGAAACACTTAACCCTAATTTTTTATTTTATGTGAAAAACCCTAATTGGGTTTAGATTCTTATTGGGCCATTTATTGGACTAAGCTGTTGTGGGCCAATTGGGAACATATTTATGGACTAAGGAAATTATTGGGCTTTAGGATAAGACCCATTAGAGAGGCTTGGGCCCAATTTGGAAAATTGGGCCATAAGTGGGCCATAATTGGGCCTTGAAGATTATTAGCTATTGGGCCATCAGAACGCCAAGCGTTTGGACTAGAATAAATGGTTGGGCCTTAAGATAAGCACATGTAGAGGTTTGGGCCCAATTTGGGAAATTGGGTGATGTGTGTGAAACGAACTAAGTTTTATCCTACTTTTTAATTATGAATTAGACACACAAAGGCAGTAGACCTATCAATTGTGGTATAGTTAAATAAGTAGGGTATCGAACTCAGGGAACGGAAATTAAACTAATTACTAATATTATCTAAGAACAAGTAATAGAAAGTAGGGTTTTCTCTAGTTTTACAAGACTAGAAACTTAAATATTTAGCTAAGACTTAAACCAAATAACTAAAGCTAAAGCAACAAAAATCACTAAATTCAATAATTAAGGAGACTTCTGTTTAGGTTCAAATCATTTGTTCCTATGGTTGATTTTATGGTAAATGCTTTGGATTAAGTTTAATTGGCTACCGATTAAGATGATTAGGTTCACGTTCGCTATTGCTAATCCTTAGAAAACAGATTAATTCAAACAATGGCCAGTTGTCTAGATTAATGAATTTCCTAGTTTATTAATTCGGGTTAAGTAAGACTTGTAGTGGTTAATTAAATTGGTCGTTCAACTACCTCTTGATGATGGTTAGTCATACAAGCTCACACACTAACTTACCTATTTTCTAGCTAACCCTAGTTTCACGTTCGTTATTCCTAGGCATATAACTATGTTTTCACATAAATCACATGAGATTAGCAACTAAGAGATGTTCCTGCAACTTAATTACTGATTTGTTAGCAGAAAACAGTTATTGTTAACACATAAGGTTCTTTAACAAGCTTAACAAAACATAATCACCAAATTAAATTAATCCTAACCATAAAATCATTCCATATTCACAAACTCATCTACCCTAAACAGAAGATAAAGGTCTTAGTTCATAATTGCAGTAAAAACAAACTCAAAAACGAATTCAATTAGTTCAAACATGACTCAATCAAAAGCTTAACTAAGAATAAACTAGAATGTGCCTTAATCTTCCTTAAAATCGAATGTAGGGTTGATTCTTCAACTCCTCACGGTCCAGCAGCACCTTCAATCGCAGCTTAGTTTCCTAGGGTTCCCCAGAGGTTCTTTGTCTCGGTCTTAAAGTCTTTATTTATAGTTTTCTGGAAACAGAGTTGACTCATCGAGTCTAGGTACCGACTCACAGAGTCCTTCATTAAAAGTCCGTGTACGGCAAGGACTTCTATAGCTTCGCGAACCTTCAATCCGACTCGCCGAGTCAGGCGTTGACTCGCCGAGTTCTTCTTGTTTTCGACATTTTTCTTCTTCATTTCAACTCCCGAACTTCTGATTGCATCTCCTGCTTCCTTTTGCTCCCGAGCACATCTTTTGGACTGAAAATATAATTTAAACACAATTAAGTACCTTTTGTCCATAAATTGCAAATAATTAGCCAATAAATAATAAAAATCTATACTAAATATATAACTAAATATGCACATATAAAAATACCCCACACTTGACTTTTGCTTGCCCCCAAGCAAAACTGAATTTCAGCACACTAATATTACATAAGACAATCCCAATCGAACCCAGCCATTATGCCAAGACCGCAACGTATGCATTTGTGTCTAAAGTTTTTCCTAAGGACCCCCCTCAATTCTAAATACTCACAATCCTCATAAACACTCGCCCACTTCTTTTGAACAATGCTCATTTTATGCATCCCTCCGAATCCATCCGCAGAAAACCTCCTAGTCTCAAGGTATTTTTGGTTGAGCAACCCAAGCATACATAATCTAGACAATTACAACTTTTTGATACCACTATAAAGCTTATTTGGAATTCTTCACCTCCTTGATATTTGATCTTTAATTTGAATTCACCACCTTTATGATGTTTAGTATCTTCACTTTTTTTTTCTTTTTTCACTCAAATCCTACATGCTTAAGCAGGGGCGCTCAATTTCAACCTTTATTGATTAAAGATAAAAAATTTCCCGGATACATTTCTGGTACACGATGCTAAACATATTGCATCCCTCAAACTAAGCGAGGTTGTGTTTTTGTCCCATGATTTCACTAGAATAAAGGAGGCCACAAATGCATTATAACGTATATTGGCTCAACTAAACATTTGGGTCCTCATAAAATCATCAAACACAATACTAGCATGGAATCCTAATTGCTTTTACCAAAAATTTCTAAATTAAGTCCTAGCAATTTTTAATGCAAAAATTTCAAAATTATACCTAAATTAGGATTCTAATATAATCAACCCCCCACCCCACACTTAATTTATGCAATGTCCCCATTGCATGTTATGCATGAAAAGAAAAACACAAAAGTAAAGAGGGAATTGGAACAAACTCCCCTGGGATAGTAGTCCCGAGGTTGATCTTTGACATTGAAAGCTCCATCTTTAGACATGGGAACAGCTCATCCATATCTTGGGCGTCAAATCTCGTGTGGTATAGCTCCAAATGTAGACGGAAAAAACTCTCGGAAACGCTCGGAAAATGTTCTTAAAAAATGTAGCCAATTGCCGTATCAAATATTATCAAATCATCAGCTTGAGAGACAAAATAAGGATCAACTCGTCGAGTCTGTAGGGTGGCTCGCCTAGTTGTAGCGTAATACTGGCAGAAGTCGAGTTTTTATACTGGGACTCATCGAGTAGGTAAGTGCACTCGCCGAGTCCATCGTTGTATGGAAAAAAATGTTTTTGCTCCAGGTTCGATTCTGATGTGTGTGGGGAATATTAAATTGATACTTTCCCCATTTTTTCTTCAGTAAATGAGCTCTTAATAACCTCTTTCATCATCAGACTCGTAATTAGACTCAAAACTTCGTTTTCTCTCTCGCCTGGACTCGATTTTTCCCTTGGTTATCCTTGACTCTAGACTCTCGCATGCATCCTTACACTCAAACTGAAAAGATCAAAAACAAATACCAAGTAATAAAAAAAACATCAAAATAAAAATCCTAAATTATCCTTAAATACTAGAAGTTTAGAAAGAAAAAGAAAAGCAAACTCTAGTGACGGGTTGCCTCCCGCAAGCGCTTCTTTTTGTGCGAGTCTTTAGCTGGACTCTCAACTTAATAAACTTCCAATAAACTCAATGTCAATCCATCCGTTGCCTTGAATATTTTCTTTGGACCAATTCGAAAAATTTGGCTCTTTGCTTCAAAAATTGGCCAAACGAGCTTTACTTCATGTAACCCAAGAATCTTGACAAGGGTTGGAACCGGTCGGGAACTAATCAGAAATGGATCGTAATTCAGAACTTTCTCCAAAGTTGGAATCGTCACCCTATGCTTCGAAACACAAACCGGAAGAATAGGGGGCCACGTTGTGGTAATGGTCAAACCACAGCTTGGTTCCTGCAACTTAGGTTTTTCTTGTTCTTCATCTGACCTCTCTGCTAGCAATCTTTCCATCTCCTCCAAATCTTTTTCTGGATTAAATTCTTCATCTTGTAGATTTAGCTCTTGTAACTCAGATTGCTCTTGTGTGTTGGGCAAGATGTTATCTAACCATCTTCCAAATTCCTTCAAATCATCATCTGAGTCATACGCCTCATCTTCTTGCTCACTTTCCTGTACTACTTCCTCAAGAAAAGCATCAAAAGCATCGAGAGTTGGAAAATACATAATAAATATTAAAAAAAAGAAAACTCGTAACTTTATATGAGATAAATCTCACACAAAGGATCGATAATACTAGCAATTAAAATAAATTTTAGAACCGTTCCCCGGCAACGGCGCCAAAAACTTGATGTGTGTGAAACGAACTAAGTTTTATCCTACTTTTTAATTATGAATTAGACACACAAAGGCAGTGGACCTATCAATTGTGGTATAGTTAAATAAGTAGGGTATGGAACTCAGGGAACGAAAATTAAACTAATTACTAATATTATCTAAGAACAAGTAATAGAAAGTAGGGTTTTCTCTAGTTTTACAAGACTAGAAACTTAAATATTTAGCTAAGACTTAAACTAAATAACTAAAGCTAAAGCAACAAAAATCACTAAATTCAATAATTAAGGAGACTTCTGTTTAGTTTCAAATCATTTGTTCCTATGGTTGATTTTATGGTAAATGCTTTGGATTAAGTTTAATTGGCTACCGATTAAGATGATTAGGTTCACGTTCGCTATTGCTAATCCTTAGAAAACAGATTAATTCAAACAATGGCAGTTGTCTAGATTAATAAATTTCCTAGTTTATTAATTCGGGTTAAGTAAGACTTGTAGTGGTTAATTAAATTGGTCGTTCAACTACCTCTTGATGATGGTTAGTCATACAAGCTCACACACTAACTTACCTATTTTCTAGCTAACCCTAGTTTCACGTTCGTTATTCCTAGGCATATAACTATGTTTTCACATAAATCACATGAGATTAGCAACTAAGAGATGTTCATGCAACTTAATTACTGATTTGTTAGCAGAAAACAGTTATTGTTAACACATAAGGTTCTTTAACAAGCTTAACAAAACATAATCACCAAATTAAATTAATCCTAACCATAAAATCATTCCATATTCACAAAATCATCTATCCTAAACAGAAGATAAAGGTCTTAGTTCATAATTGCAGTAAAAACAAACTCAAAAACGAATTCAATTAGTTCAAACATGACTCAATCAAAAGATTAACTAAGAATAAACTAGAATGTGCCTTAATCTTCCTTAAAATCGAATGTAGGGTTGATTCTTCAGCTCCTCACGGTCCAGCAGCACCTTCAATCGCAACTTAGTTTCCTAGGGTTCCCCAGAGGTTCTTTGTCTCGGTCTTAAAGTCTTTATTTATAGTTTTCTGGAAACAGAGTTGACTCATCGAGTCTAGGTACCGACTCGCCGAGTCCTTCATTAAAAGTCTGTGTACGGCAAGGACTTATATAGCTTCGCGAACCTTTAATCCGACTCGTCGAGTTCTTCTTGTTTTCGACATTTTTCTTCTTCATTTCAACTCCCGAACTTCCGATTGCATCTCCTGCTTCCTTTTGCTCCCGAGCACATCATTTGGACTGAAAATATAATTTAAACACAATTAAGTACCTTTTGTCCATAAATTGCAAATAATTAGCAAATAAATAATAAAAATCTATACTAAATATATAGCTAAATATGCACATATCATTTGGCCATATGTTGGACCTTAGTTGATTATTGGACTTTTGGGCCTTTAGAGTGTGAGTTTGGGCCTTGGTTTTGAACCAAGCTAGGTTAGGGGTAAAATGGTCCATTTACCCCAAGTGTAGATTTATGGTTATGTATTGGAGCCCAATTATTAATTGGGTGTCATTTTGATGATTGACAGTTCGGGAACCTGTCAACCGGCAGCTAGAGTTTTATCTGCGGGACTTCTGCAGTGCCAGGTGAGTCTCCTCACCATACCAATGGGTCTAAGGCACCAAGGCCGGCCCATTTTATGATATGTGATATGCTAGTTGATTATGTGTTATGCTAGTATGACCTTTGTATGGAAGACCTCGGGGGGTTCCCGAGGCAGTAGACTAAGACCATGTGGGGGTTCCCATGGAAATTAGTTATATGTGTGGTGTGGTATGCTAGCTATTATGTGACATGTGGTATGCTAGATATTTCTGTGATATGCGGTGTGCTAGTTGACTCTGTGTTGTTTGCATGGAAGACCTCGAGGGGTTCCCGAGGCAGTGGGATATCAGACCATGTGGGGGTTCCCATGGCATTCCAGGCTAAGACCATGTGAGGGTTCATATGGCATTTGGTGTAAGACCTTGGAGGGTTTCCATGGCCTCCTTAGTAAAGACCTCGGGGGGTTCCCGATGCACTTGAGTGTAAGACCTTGGAGGGTTTCTAGGGCATCATTATATGTTTGCATGTTTAGCTCATATGTTTGTATGTATGGTTTGATTGGTAGTTATGGAATACCATGTGGGGGTTCCCATGGCAGTAGGCTAAGACCATGAGGGGGTTCCTATGGCACCCGGAGTAAGACCTTGGAGGGTTTCCACGGCTTCCTTATATGATTATATGCATGGCTTATGTGATTGATATGACTTATGTGGATATGTAGCTGATATAGCTAATATGGATTATGTGATTATGTGGATTGTATAGGGTATGCTCTGGGGAACTCACTAAGCTTCGTGCTTACAGTTTTGTTTATGGTTTCAGGTATCTTTGTTTTGGAAAGGAATGACTCAGCTTGATCGCAGCACACACACTCATGGTTTTCCGCAATGAATGATTTTGGGATGAACTCTGATAAATGTTTTTAATTAACAATGTTTTGGAATGATTTGAATAAATGATATCTATGTTTGGGTTATATTAAAAATGAAATTTTTACCCCTGATTTTTGGGTCGTTACAAACAGTCACATATTCACTTTTCCATATATATATATATATATATATATATATATATATATATATATATATATATATATATATATATATATATATATATAATACCAACTAATATATTGCTTAGTCTACATAATTTATTAGCTATTCAATATAAGAGTAACTATATTAAGAGTTTTTTCGAAGTTTTTTTTCTTTGGAAAATTTTGAAGAAGCTATGAAAAAACTCTCTAAGCTTTTTCCTTCTAATCGCTCTTTCCATGGGTTTTTAAATAGTTATAGTGGATCTGATACAATTAAATGGGTGTTTGGAAGTGTTTTTTAAAATGATTTATTGATTTATTGGTTTTTTAAAAAGTCAATAAATTAAAAAAATATTTGGTAAACACTAACTTTTTAAGTAAAATCAGGCAAAAAAATAATTTTTCCAAAAAGCCATGAATTACCTGTTTTTTTTAAAAGTCAATAAGCAGTTTTAAAAGCTTACCCAAACACACCCTAATTATAAATAGCCAACTTATGTAGAAAAATAATAAAATTATATAAATAAATTGTTGATTCCTATAAATAAAAAGCATTAATGAAAAAACTCTCTTATTGTCGATATTTTGTGAGCTTTTTGGATTGTAATTCTAGTGCTTAAGGTGTAGTGAAAAAATATGAACCATGAAAGCTTGAAAATAAATTTGTTAATAAATATGATATTTGATCGATTTCAGTAATATTTTATTCCTATTATTACTAATAAGTTAAAGACTATATTGTTTGAACAACATATCCCCCAAGACCCAATGTTAAATTGTTTAAACCTGAAATTAACTCAATTTTAAAACATTTAAGTCTCAAGCGAACATGGTATCATGTTGGAATTAATAAACGTATGGTGCAAAAATATCTCAAAAATATTCGTTTTTACACTAAATTTTGGATTAATTTGATATAATATTTTTGTGAAACCGCTAAAGTTGTTTATAAACTAGTATTTTAAAAAACTATTTAAGATAGATTATTGATAAAGGCATAAGGCATTTTCCAAAAGTTTTTCAAAATATACTTTTACATAATTTTTCAACATGTTTTCTATATATACCATTATATGGTATTTTATATTTGTCATCTAAATTTTCAATTAGCTTTTACCAAATATTACTATTTTATCATTAACAACTAGCTTATCAAACAAAAATATTACTCCAGCAAAAAAACTAGTTTTTAGTTATTCTAACAGCCTAGACAGTCGATTTTCAAATCTTATGAAGATAATCAATATCTTATAAAAGTAACATATTTACTAATTACACCAGTCCATTAACAAGCTTAAAAAAACATAACATAATAAGCACAGATTTAATATAAAGGTTTTTTCTCCTTTGTTGTCATAAAATAAGACATCATTAGTTTGGCAATTTTCTCCATCTTCCATTTTACAGATCTCACTTTTATAGTTATATTTTTCTTGGCATGTGATCAGATAAGAACCATATAAATGTGACCCATATAATGAAAATGTTAAATAACCTTCAGCAAGTGATAATTGTTACTTAAATACTGACATTTTTTCACTCTGTTTTTTTATCATCATTTTCATCATCATCATCAAAATAAATTATCTCCATTAAACTTCAACGATCTCGAGAGATGCTTCCATTGACCAAAAAATCTCGCCGGTTGCCACCTATGATTGCGTCTTTAAGACCTGTCATCATCCTCATCCTCTGTCAACAGTAGCAGACACCAAAACTTATTCAAGATCATGTATTTATTTAAACTGTAACTTTACACAAAATTGGCTGAAATTGTTTTTATAAATCCCCAAGTCATTTTGTCCCAAATGAGATAAAACATGTCAATTTAGCTACAAACTTACTAAGGTAAATGATGATGATATTGAGGGCAAAGAGGTTATTTTAGCTTAATACTTATATTGCATTCAAAAGTCAAACAAGTAAAGTTTTTTTGGGCTCATGACAAAAGTACCAAAAATGGGAGGTTGGTATTAAGAAAACATGTCTTTTCAATAATTATCATAAAATAACCATCTATTTCACAAAATGAATTTTGCAATTTGCAAAATTGCTTTATTAAAGGTCCTAGGCTCCTAGATACAAAAACAAAAACTTTAAAGAATATTTATATATTTTCCTTTTGCCAAATAACATCGTCATTTTGCAATATATGATTTGTCATTTTGCCAAAAAAAAAAAAAAAGATATCACAAGAAAAAAATAATTTCACCAAAGTGGTTAATTGGTGATAAATATTGAAAATATGGTCCTTTTCTTAATAACACCCTCCGAATTATGTCATTTTGTGATTATAATAAAATAGTTATCTTTTGAACATTTATCACATAATAACCTCTAATTTCGCGAAATATTGGTGTCATTTGTGGTAAAAATGTCAATTTGCAAAAAAAAAATCTATTCCATGAAAACCATTTATGGAGAAATGTAATGTAAGCAGGAGTTTGGCCGGCGTACCTCATCATGGATCCGAAATTTCAATTCATGGCGCAAAACTTGCCATCTTTCATGCTGCCACTGTTGGCCAATAATCACAATACCCATCACTGCAGCCGCAGCAAAAATAGACCAAAATGTACTCGTCTCTTTTGTATGTGCATACAAAGATACAGCTTGTTTCTTCAACCAAACTCCATAAGGCACACCACATCCAGATCCAGATCCATCATGGTTGTGGTTGTTGTCTTCTTTGGGTTCCTCAGAAGAGTGTACAGACTCATCTAATTCTCTCATTTCATCATCTATGTTTTTCACACCCATAGTTGCTTCACTGTGTAATGAATCAAGTGCAGGAGAAGTGTAAATACTCTGCTCTTTTGCTCCCATATTTAGACTGGACAATGTAGTGTTCTCTGTGAAGTCTGTGTCACCGAGGGCTAATTTCTCATTAGAAAAGGGAATTTTGTGATAATCATGTAACTCGGTTAGCTTCTTAACATCATAAATTTCTTTGTCTTTAATGGATTCAGAATCATCAAGCTGATCAAAGATCTCTGTGTCTTGTTTAGGTGGCAAAACAAAATGAGTAGACATGAACAATGTGTTGGAAGTTTCGACTTTATCTTTGTCAACTACTTCACCCTTTTCTTCATGTTTAAGCTCTGGGATATTCCCACCAGGGGCAGCAGCGTATGCTGATGCAGTGAGTGATACTACTTCCCAATCGGCTCCTTTAGGGGCAGTTGCATGTCCTTCCTCTTTATCTGCCATCTCTGTTTTCGTGCATGCATCATTTCGCATTAGTGTAGGATTGAGACAATCTAGTGTAGGAATTTGTAAAATTGTAGGGATAAGAAGGTAAGATTAAGCTAATATGCTTCTATAATAATTATTATATTATTATATTTTGCGTGCTCAAGATAAGATTAGAAGAGTCAAAGATAAGCCCTACAAATGACGAAAGTAAGAACATATATAAATCACTATTGGCTATTGGTATAACCTCTCGTTGTGGTCATGCCACGTAAAGGCGGGAATCTAAACAGTAGATTTGCTTGGCAAAAAGTCGCCCCTTGGTTAGCAAAAACACAAAATAAATAGCAAACAACTTTTTCTTCAAAGTTTGGTAGTCCACTGGAATTAAATATTTGAAACGAATAATAAGGAACAATAAGATCACACGCAATCATTTCCCCGCAATAATGCAGAATATTATGAAGAAATAAGAACTGTAGATCGAGAGAACATATATCAGCAAAAACTAATCATACATGCTTAAAACGATACGATTATGAATACAAAAAACATAAAATTCAAAATTCAGATAAAATCGCCGGTGAATCAGAAGTTGCGTTGTTAACTAAATCATCATCAAAGACCACCGTATAATCAATTGACTTACAGCTACGTTGATGTATGAAGTATCGTGTAGCAACACGTTATGTTCCCCAAAATTCAATACTCTACAAAAGAAATTACAAAATGGATCTAGACATCGGCAATAACTAATCAGACATGCCTAAAACAATACGGTTACGAATATAACTAGGAGAAATTAAAATTTTAAACAATATCATCAATCGCTTAGAAGTAAGAAGGTGCGTTGTTAACTAAATCATCAATCAAGATCATCGTATAAGCGATTCACTTACAGTAGGGATAAGGTTTTAGGTAGAGACGCCGGAGACGGTGATGTACAAACTGCTGTATCAGGGTGCGGTTAGTGGAGTGTTTTGGGGAAACGGATGATGATCGGAGGTGTGTATATGTAGTACTAGAAGGAGTACAGGGATAAAGGGAAACTGGGTACAACCGGTAATGATAAATGATTATTGGTGGATTAACCGGATATAGCAGGTAAAGTATGTAACTGTTGTTTGCACAAGGAGGGAAAGTATATGCGGTAGCTGTATTGGCGCGTTACTTTTTGACTTTTTGGTCTTTTGAAGAGATGCTTCATGTTTGGGGCACAAATTTAGATCGAAAACAAACTAAGAACTTGTTAAACCTCTTGCCAAACGGATTTATGACACTATAAAGATTGCCTGTGGGCAAAAAGATTAACAAATTATTGGTTTGTTTTTAATCTAAATTTGTGCTCCCAAATATGAAGCATCTCTTTTATAGGTAAAATGATGTTTGCAAACAAGTTTTAAAGAAACATACATAAATAAAAAACTATGTTTTATAGTACAAGCTTAAAACTTTTATTTTATACATTCTGAAAATGTATTACGAAGAAATTGACCTTTCATATATTTTTTAGTATAGTGTTGAGATTGGCTCCAGAACCGAACCGAGCCAAGCTAAAACCAAAAAATGAAAATCTAGGGAATATAGAACTGAACCTATGTATGAGGATATGATGATGGTTAGGTTTCGGTTTCAGTACCGGTTTTCAGGTAAAAAATTGAACATAACCGAAAGTGCTTATAAAAAATCAGCCCTAATAACCACTGTTTATGGTTGTGTAACTCAGTCAATTCTTAACCAATTAAGGTGGCTTTTGAGCCCAAAAAGTAGTCAAGACAAAGAAGTAAATGCTAGAGAAAAAATCATCTCATTCGAAACTCGTATGAACAAAAAATGATTGTTCAAAGTTGACTAAGGGTGTGTTTGATAAGGGATTCTAACCGGATCCAAACATGGATTAGGTCCAATATATTCAATTTGCATGTTTGATCAACCTTCTACAATGTTGGTCTCGGTCCCTATTTTTTATTGATCCGGTCCCTACTATTTTCCCTCTTGACCGAGACGAGACGCTTCTTTTCCATAGTGTGCCCTTCTCCTTCTCTAACCTAGTCATATTTTCCTTCATCCTCTCACCTCGTTCCTTCAGATCCTCCCACCTTTCTCCTCCATTTCCTTCGTAGTCACTGTTGGTTGGCCCCCCTCCAACAACGCCTCCAAACAAATTATCAAACTTCAAGTTGATAAAACTCGGATTCAAAAAGCGAGGATTATTGGAGGAATCTGACGCATGTAGGGATTCTTAGAGAAGAAAATTAGCGAGGAAGACAAAGAAGAAGTTGAGAATTTAAAAAGAATAGTTTGAATCCATCTCTATCAATGGCTAATTTGGTTTCCCCTGAAACTCTCGAGATTTGCAAGCATGCTACTGGAATAGTTGGTCTGTATTCCTCTATTCCTCTCCTTTATTAGATAATTATATTGTTTATTATTAAAATGTATCTTTGTATTTTATAGATCCGAAATCATAGGATCTCATTATTGTACCTTGTTAATATAAATACAATACAATACACACGTTTAGATGTGTGGTTGATTTATCAATATTCTATATGGTAACAGCCTAAATCCCACACCGCCTTTCTCTTGTTTTTTTTCTCTTCTTCTCAAAACCCTAAACTTCTCGTGGTACCTGATCATGTCTACATCGACAGATGGTGTAAGTCCCAAAACACTTAAATCAATATGATATCAATCAAACTATATAAAGAATGTGGAATATAAACCAGATAGTGATTCAAGAACACACAAATAACTCTTAATGCACACGATTTATTAGATGAAATCATCTGGTACACCAAGAATCTTCTTAACAGTCGAATACAATAATGATCAACTCTGACTCCTAAACGGCTGAAAAGCTATTTATACAAACCTAGTACAAAGCCTTAACAGGCCCAAGCCCATGCTGGCCGAAATCACTATTAAGCCCACCGAAATCACATGGTGATTTCGGTCCAAATACCACCGAAAACATGGTGTTTTCGGTCCTAGACCAATAACTCTAAAAGCTACATAAAGCAAAGTATAAACCACAAATCATGTCCTAACAATCTCCCCCTTGGTTTATAGCCTTATTTTCTTTTCAATCTTCTCTTTGTTCTTGACTTTCAGCTTTTATCTTCGATTTCTTCACACCTTCAAGATGAACATATGAATTTCTGCATGAATGACTTTATCTTGAATAGTTGTACTGCCTTTGAAAATTTTGACTTTGAACGCACATTATGTATAGAGGCTTCTTGTAAAGGTTCTTGAAAATCAGCACTTTCAGCTTTGAAATACTTCAGATATAATTATAGAGAGATCGATTCTTTAGGATCACTTCAGCAAGTTCATAAATAGCAGCAAACTGATTGAGGAGGCTTCAATGCAATTCGTCACATAACTTCAAATACAGCTTCACCTTGCTTCTGGGGTTGAAAGATTGAGTGTTGAAAGATAATCTTCACTTCTTGTTCCTTCGAATGAAAATTCTTTATCGATCACAGATGCGTCTTAAAAGGTAACCATGACTAAAAAGTCCATGTGGATCACGGAGTCATAAAGACCCTTCTCACCACAGTTGTTCAAGGACCCAGCCTTGGCTCAGATGGAGACTACTCGCAGTATCTGTGTGAACACGGAGGAACGCACTGCGATTTGTTGAGTATCGGAGAACTACTCGTGGCTATTTTTGATGTAGCCCCTTAATATCCTAGATCAAAGATCTCAATATAGTTTTTCAAGTTAACAAGTTAACTTGGCCCTTGGCGAGACGTTCAATGGTTTATGAATCTCAGCTGAGTGTACCATTCTAGTCCCAGTGAGAGTTAATTAGGAATAACTCACAAAACCATCATGTGACAAAAATTATCCAAAGACATATTTCCATAGTTTAGCATGACACGAGGTCAAGGCCCTTTGGCGGGACGTTCAGCAATAATCGTGCCTTGCGAGGTGCATCGCTCTAGTGCCAATATCGTTAATTCCTTACCTGCGAAGAATGTATTTGAGAATACATTTGAGTCTCTGCAGTTTTGCATGACAAAGAGATTGTCAAGACCCTGGGCGGGATGTTCAGCGATACCTATTTCCCAGTTGGGTGAATCGCCCCAGTGCCATGACAGTTCTTAGGTAAAGATAACTGACAAGACCAATTTTGACAATCTGTACAGTTCCGGACTTTCAATTCCTTAAATATGACAGTTCTTAGAAAGATACTACCTAACTGACAGTTTGTACATTTTCATGCCTTCAATTCCTTGTGAAAGTAGTGTGAAGTGTAATGACCATCAATTCCTTTCAAGATCTCTTCTTACACAGAAAATTCTGACACAGTCTCCTTGAGTCTCTTCTTCTTTTGAATTCGCGTTTTGAGACAAATGAAATTTTGAGATAAAAATAAAAGTAAAAATAAACTTAGCACACAATAAAACGACTAAAAATAAAAAATAAAATTAAAATACGCTCAAAAACAATATTTTTGGATTTTTATTTTTTTGAAAAATAAATAAAAACAGAAATAAACATATTTTTGATTTTTTTTTTTCAACTTTATGATTTTTGTTTGATTTTAATTCTCCCCCTAAATTTGTGCATAGAGGAAAAATATGAACAAATTTAACAAAAACAAAAATAAAATACAAAATGTACAAAACAAAAAAAAACTTTTAGTCTTCAAAACGAATCATTTTAAGAAAACTCAGGAGTATCGAGAAATTCAAATTGTAATTCAACAATTGAAGTTGCATCCAGATGACCTGAGAACAGCACGCATAGACAACAACGTATACAGCCTCAGCTGTGTTTCAATTCCTGAACGAAGTTAACATATTCAAAATCCATCATGTCGTTAAATACGACCCCCCATTAGTGATCTTTTCTTTCTTCCTTCCGCAAAGGACACATACCCTCAATTAAAGTTTTGAATGTCATGCGGTTGAGAGATGTCACATGTCATGTGCTTGGAACAGGCACTATCAACATATCGAAGTCTGATGATATTCCTCCATAGCTGCTCCGACACAGAGTGCGGGATTAGTTGGTTTTGGGAATCCAGTCCATTTTGAAGCTGGGTTTACGATTACTATTAACTTGGGATACTCATTCCCATACCATATCTTGTTTATCAAATAATGATTTTCAAAGAATTTGTAGAACTTTTTGGACCAATTGATGATTTGGAATAAAGAACTTTGGGTACCCATTGGTAATTTGGTTTATGTACTTTCTTGTTGTACCGAATGGGACCTTTTTCATTTACCTTTGGGATGGTACTACCTTTTGATTTAGGCTTGAATCGCAAGTGTGAGCTAGAGGACAATCCTTGAGATGAATTCGACCTTACCGATTTCGGTTTGGCAGAACCATCTCTCGAATTAGACTTCTTGTCCGACATGCCCTTTTTGTCCTTGGGAGTCTGATTCTTGGTCTTTTTAGCATTCCAATCACCATTGTGTGAACGTGACCTCGAAGGATTTCTTTTGGAAGATCTCCCTCTTGGCGCGTTCTGCCAACCTTGTTCATAGTAGGGAACATATGAACGATGTGGACAGTTTCTAGCAATGTAACCAGGAGTCCCACAGTTAAAACAAGTCTGTCTTTTCAAATAGATAATATTGTGACTTGGTCATTGTCCAAATGAAGTTTGTTTCAAGGAACTTCCACAAGCACAAGCACATGAACATTTATTAGACTGTTTAACAGATTTTTGTGGCTTAAATTTTTCAACAGTGGGAGTATCATCATCACAAGTTTTTGAATCATTTTCAGCAGAACTAGAATTATTTTTGTTCTGCTCATACCCATCTTGCACTGTGACCTTATCTGCACATGAGGTAGAAACATTAGTATCGTTCACACTATCATTATTTACTGTCTCAACTACAGTAGGTTTGCCATATTGTAGGTGTGCTTCCCTTGCATTTTCTTCCTCAGTCGTAGGAGTAAAAGTGTAGTTATCATTGAATGGAGGAGGAACACTATCATAACCAAGACCTACATTCTGTTTACCTTGCCATCTAAGTTGCTTTTCAATCATTGTCTCAACTTTCTTACTTGACACATCGAATTT